AAAAAAGTGCCATGGAAAGTATAAATAAACTAAGTACTGTGGAAAACAATTTACATTGTGCATGATAAGGTGTGTATCTATGTATATATATATTTACTTTGTGTTCTAATTAGCCCTATAAATATAAGAGTTATGAAACATAGCTTGGGACCAGAGTTCTGACTGGTCCAGAGAGGCTGCTGCCACCACTGAGTGTGGAAGATCTAGAATATTCCACAGTCACTGTATGAGGAAAGAAGCTAAATTTATAATAAAACGTGCGTGTATTGAAGGTCTGAAAGTGAAGAGGACTGGTACGTTTTACGAGTGATGGTTGTTGTCTGAGGTACTAGAAAAAGGTTTAGATCTATAGTAACTAATTTGTGGATAATTTTATATAACATTATCAATCTACATATTTTCCTTATGTGATCTAATGCTGGCCAATTTAGATGGTGTAACATGTTTGAAACACTATTTTATTATGGTATCTTATGTGTGACATATCGTGCAGCTCGTCTTTGTACATTTTCTAGTTTATCTTTGAGGTTTTTTTTATGTGATGCCAAGACTGAAGAACATTATTCAAGGTTAGACCTGACCATTGATTTATATATGCCAATGATTTTGTTTCTTCATTTTTTTATCTGCAAATTTCGTTTTAAAAACCCAATACCTTATTCGCCTTGGAAGTTATATTATTGATATGAGGTTCCCAGGACATGTGGTAGGATAATGTTACTCCTAAATATTTTGCTGTCTTTAAAGGCTCTAGTGTGTGTCCTTTTAAATTATAGCTATATATTTTACTGGTGTGCGAGATCTAGGGATACTGATTGAACTAAATGTTTTAGGATGAAATTGCATTCCCCAGACATGTTCCCAATTAGCTAAGAAGTCGAGATCTTTTTGAAGGATTACACAGTCATTTTGATTATGAATAGGTCGATAAAGGATGCAAAGAGCCTTGTATTAGATGTTACAGATGATGGTAGTTCATTTATTAAAATGAAAAATAGAAGGGGCCCAAGGACTGACCCTTGAGGAACCCCACTCACCACAAGATTGGACTGCGCGTGGTTACCTCACTATCAAGGACAACCTGTTGTTCTCTATTGCTGTGAAAAGCAAAGACCCACCTCCAGGTGTTACCCTGTATCCCATAATTATCAGTTTGAGTGTTTGAATGTAAATTTTCCAATAATTCATTGCTAAGAGTAAGTAGCTGAGTTTCGCAACTTCTCTTAGCTCTAAATCTATTTTGACAATCTACTGAAATATCATATTGGTTTAAATGGTTCAAAACGTTGCTGACAAATATATGCTCTGGAATTTTACAACAAATGCATGTTAATGAGACAGGTCTGTAATTACTAGCCAAATACCCCCCCCCCCTTTTTTTTAATATAGGAATGACATTAGCTTGATGCCAGTCTGCAGGTACCTCCCAATGTGCCAGTGAAATGTTAAAAATATGTGCAAGGTGTGGAGAAAATTAAGATGAATATTGTTTAAGGATGCGAGCTGGTATTTCATCTAGCCCTGTTTCTTTACTAGGATTTAATTTATTTAAAAAAAAAGATATGTGCCATTTACAGTTTTGTGTTTTTCGTGCATGGATGGATAATTGTCATTCAATTGTGGTATATGTTCATGATCATCTTCAGGCGTGAAGACTGAATGGTATTGTTTGTTAAAAATTTCCACTTTCTGTTTAGTATCATCAATAAATATCTCTTCAGATCTTAAAGGGGCTACTCCTGAACTGTCGTTTTTAGTATTGCTAATATAATTCCAAAACTTTTGTTTTTGTTTTTGTGATGTCTCTATATTTTCATCATAACAAATAATATTCTCCAAATAAGTCCAATATGCTCTCCTTATTTCCCTTTGTAATTGATGTTTTATGTCTTTGTATTTCTTGGTGCTTGTGCTGTTTGTATGTTGTTTCATATTTTTGAAGAGTTTGTTTCTTTTTCTAATTAGTGCTTAATTTTCCTATCTATCCAAGACAACCTTTTTTTAAAATTGTTTATCATTTTAGTTGGAATGTTTTCGTTCATGATATCCAATACTTTAGTTCTAAATTCACCCCACAGAAAGTTTATATTCTGATCTTGTAATGGATTTTGACTGTTAATGTTCATGTTTTGTATATTTTCTTTGATTTTCTCAATGTTTGCTGTATTGTAGAGATAGATTTTCCTAGGTAGTTTTTTAACTTTTCTTGGTTTTAAGCTAGCTTGAATGTAATGAAAAAAATGAAATTCGTATAAATGACGTTAATTTGTTGCTGGGATCAAGTGCCTAACAAGGGAATCGCAATATACGAACGACAAACAATGTCTAATTCTATGTACAACAGTTGAAATAACAGTCCAGATTTATCAATGGATGATTGAAATTGAAATGGGGTTAGTATGTGAAATACATTTGTTAAAGAGACACCGTGAAGCACAAATTAGGAAACTGGCAAACGTAGAATTTTTGCAAGACCCGTGTATAAAGCGGGTGTTGTAGAAACTCACGATTATTCCCTATATATCGATGACTCTTAAATACCCTCGTTATGTCTAAATATAGATACAGCTACGTAGAGGACTGTGTTGTTACATATTAAAATAGTGTATTAAAAAATGTTTTCCAAAAAATATATTTTATTGAAATAAAAAATCAGTTTCAAAAGCGCTGGGTTTTTTCTTTAGCTCTGGTAATTTTCTACATTTAAGAAAAATTAACTAATCTAGAAACCAATTATGTAGTTTTTTTAATCATATTCGAAGAGTATATTTCTTATTTAACTCCTCGTCCACATGCGTGATTCTAGCGGGGATTGGAAAGAGGTTCCAGAGCCTCAAGAATTTGCAGATTAATTAACATTTCATGTACAGAGTTAGGGGTGATAGTAATTATTTTTTTTAGGTATATCGGACAAGTGAAGTCCTCAACGAATCTCAGACGGAGACCCGAGGAGGGGGTTCCATAGACAATAAGATTTTTTAAATGGGGAAAATATAACTACTTTTGTTATATCGATGTAAGATAAATACACAATTATGTTCAAGAAAAGAATTATTCCTAAAAAAAATCTCAAACAAACATAAGACATCTTTATTGTCATGTTTGTCTAAAAGAGTAAATCTTACATAGTATAAGATAATCTGAGAGCATTTGATTCATATATATATATACGATAAAAATATACATGTTTTTGAATTCCTGCATATCTTTTCAGTGAAAACCAATATAAAGAGTAACTGTAACATAATTTTAAAGACAGAGACCACGCAAGCAGAATTCCTATAAGAATATCTTTGTAGTCATTTTCCCGAATCTCTCTCTCTCTCTCTCTCTCTCTCTCTCTCTCTCTCTCTCTCTCTCTGTACATGTATAACGGTACATTAAATTTAAGCTGCAATGGTAAAGTATTTTTTCATATTACTACATGTATCTAGAGTCTAGTATTTCGTAATTATTTTATGACTTGGAGGGGATTGTCTTACATATGATGTACATTAAGTTAATAGTAAACGTGTAAAATTTATATCTTGACTCAAAATGTCATTGTGTACATATGTTAATCATTTGCATTTTTTATACATTAAGTTTGCTTGAAAGTATAATTTCATTTCTTATGAAAATAAAGTTTAAAATCTTATTCTGTCTCAAAATTAATTATTAGTGTTATCAGTAGAATTAGTATTTATAGAATCATGAAATTTAGTATCAAAGGCGAACTTCAAGTCATTAAGTTGTATCAATTTCGGAAAGGGGGGCTGTAATTGATGTTCAAAAAACAATTTTAGATTAATTCTGATTTAAACATTATGTACGGTCCTTTTCTTCCTATCAATTTATAAGACTTTTATCATTGAAATGTTGTAAAAAACAAAATCGATTTCTTATAAGATACATATCTCATAAGAGACCCTATTAATCCATGCATGTTTCAATCAGTGTAAGTATTCATTAAATCTATAGTTTTCTGTATTTTGACGTACTTCGAATACATGTTTGTACGCAAACAAAAAATATTATGCTTTTGATGAAATTGGCCCCTGATCTCCAAAAACAACATAGATATTGTCAATCAGAAACTCAAGAATCTCTTTGGTGATAACTTCAGAGTATTTTTTTGCACACTCGGAATGTTTTTCAACACATTTTAATAACTTTGCAAAAGACCAATGACAAGATAGGTAAATATACGAGTTCCATTTTTATTGAAAATGCAGTTGTCAACGATATCAAAAAGCCTGGACTTTTATTTATCGTGAGGAATAGTTTTGTTTTAAGTTGAAAAATCGTAAGCGAGGAGTAAAGAAAGAGGCTTGGTTGAACATTTACTGGAACCCGCTATGTATCTTAAGTTTGTAAGGATTTTTATGAACTTTCGGTGTCCAATATAGATATGGTAATTCAACTTCATTTAGGTTGTTTGGAATATCAAAAATATTAAAAACTAATACAATTAGTTTTAGTTATTTCCTCTTTAGAACGGGGAATTTGGGTATAAGTTAGATTACACTGTCTTGTAGAATTAAAGTTTCTCAATTAAAAAAAACTTTTTATATAATTATCAACAAAGACAATGTAGTTACCTGCTTTGAGAATTAAGGTGGAAAACTCCACCATGTCAAAAAATTCCCAAGAGGATAGCTTTTAAGGAAAAGGGTGCACAGTTCAGGAAATGTCCTTTCCAAAGTTGTCCGTCCCACTGTTCTTTGTCGAACGAGTCCATTGTGGAGAGAGCTAATTATATAGGCTCCGCCTGCTGTCCAATTCATTTATAATAATTATATTTATTACATTTTAAAATATGTTCAAATCAAAAAAAAAAAAAAATAAATCAGTTCATTTCGATCACCTATTAAGTTTTATACAGGAGTCCTATTACACCGGCAATCTTATGATTACAATTTGAGGAAACAAAAATTTTGTATTCATATTTAATATATTAACAAAATCATAGTTTTTAATTTAAAAAAATTATTACAAAATGAATGATTCAAAATAATCGATTGATAATTAGAAATGAAGTAATTTTATGGTTAAAATCGCACTGCTAAAAGTACATTATCTTCTTCCAGCATTACATGGATAATCTTACTTCAATTACCATTCCTAGCATTGACCTAGTTCTAAAACACGAAAAGTAGCATATGGATAATGATTAATAAATGGATAACTAGTATTACATGTGTAAATCAACTAGCTACGGAAACAATCACAAAGCATCGAAATTGTCACAAAATTATTCCTTAAAGTTTGCATTATTGTACATACTCTTGTTTGATATACATGTGAGTATGTACAATCATGTACAAAGTGTATTTAATTATTGTCAGACAAATAAACCGCTTAATTAACAATTAACCTTGTAACATCCTTGTAACATCTTGTACTGGAAGCGATTGGTTTCCTAGAAATATTGCAAAACCTCTTTCGATTTGATTTATGATCCATGCACGCAGTTCTATCCATTTATACCACAGTTTGTGTGACCGAGGTAACGGTGGTAAAGATACGACAAGAACTGGAATTAATTCTACGAAATTGGTACCTTGGGAAGTACGCGTACGCAAAATAAAAATGTTATTACATAAATCTAATTTTATGTAACTGTCTTTCAGAGCAGAAGCTAAGTATCCTTCTGTCGTCCTCCCATAGCACTTTTTAAGCGTGTCTATGATGACTTTGACTTTTTTTGGAAGTTGGGAAACTTCTTCTTGCAGAAAGTTTTCTATCGTTGACAAAAATGTGTTTTCGTCTTTTAATGACTTGTTACTGTACATTATACAACATTGTGGGAAACCAAAAACATCAAGCTGCTCTACTTTGTCAACAATTTTTTCTGAAAGGTCTTGATTTAATGTATTGTTGTAGCTCTTTAAAATTTGTAAACGCTCTGTTGTACTCAAGAACATATCTTTTATCTTGCAAGCAACTGGAAATGCCCGCATGATAGTATTCTCAATTGCAATTTTAAAGACCCGGTACGTATATTCTGAAATAACAAGAATACAACTGTTACGTTTTGTTTCTGTTAATGTTGACCGTATTGTAGGGATAAGAGAGAGCCATGGTGCTAATGTAGCTTGTTTTTCATCATCTGCATATTTTCCGAGAAAATCATCAAGAACTATAATGGTGTTTTCGCAATTCCAAGAACTAACATATTCACTCCATTCTATTGCATTTCGGACAATAAGCACATTGGGGATTATTTCTTCTCTTGAGTCCCTTAAACACGCCCATGCAATTTGGTAAGCGGTATACGATTTTCCTTCTCCTGCTTTTCCTTTCAATAAAACAACTCTTTCTTGTTTTACTATATTCAGAGCGCTTTTGTACACATTTGTTGGCACAAAGTTAGAATTTATGTTAGCTTCAATTTCTCTCTGAGAGTTCTCTGAAATTGAAAAAGTATCCAAATATTAATACTTAAGGTGAACATTTAATGAATACGACTTAAAATAAATATTTTTTTATCAAATCATTCACAATAATGGTTATAATAAATTGAATATACAAATAAATACATGTGTCTCCAGGATATCAAAATAATACTAGTAATAATTAATTTCCAAAATTATCCGTTACTTTAATTTGTAAGATGAGAACGATATGGAGATATAATTTTTGATTTCTTAATGATAAATAGATAAAATGGTCTGATTAGATCACACTTTATTCCGTTTTTGTGATTATATATGATTTTCAGACATAACATATAATTTGCACTTTTAAAACAAAAGATATTATTTAGTGATGGGTGGAAATTAAAGCTTCTGAAAATGTGGAGTAGAAATCGACAATAAAAGTTAAAAGATTTTACAGATATTTTGTATTCCATTAAAAAAAAGGAACACAGATTCCAAAGCTGCTCATTTTCTGATATTGTAGACTTTCTCGAATTTTTTCCTATCTAACTACTGCTGACTAAAGCCTTTAAATAGACACTATTTTACTTGTTTTAAATATATCTGTTTAGACCAATTTATAAAATTGGGCTTAAGAATGATTTTGCTTGATATTGCAAATTATAAAATATAAAGGAACAACAAATATTTATAGGCTGCCAAACAGTCAACTGATATTGTTAAAACAGGGTATTTAAAAAAAGAAGAGGCATATGGAGAAACTATGATCTTGCTCTTTAACAGATTTTCCCATTGCAACCTATTGTCCTCCCATGTTACATAACCCATAGACCATTATGAACGATTTCGAATCTATACTTCAAATTATTTTACAGCTTAACTAGCCCAGTGATTTTTGAGAATAAAATCTATAGAGTTTTTTCTTCGTGTATTTCAATGTAAAATTTGGATTTCCTATTATGGCCTTACCCTACCTCCAAGGGTCATGATTTAAACAATTTAAGAATTCCAGAAAAAAAAAGCTTTCAGTTAACGTGATCTTATAAAGAGACCATCTATCTGAGTCCATAGCTTATTCGCATGGTGGCAAAATTCAAATACATTATTTTGATTCAAATATATATTGCAGCAATTCCATTGTATCTTAAATCATTCCAGTGGACATGTTTTTTTTTCTGAAAGAAACTACACTTACTCAGTTAACCATAGTTAAGAAAAAAGTGGAAGCATTAATCTTACAAAAGAACTAAAACCATAACTTTTAGTTCTAATTATAAAACCTATATATCTTTGATATCATAATTCTCTAAAATGGTTTGTATTGAAAAATAGGCTATGTGAAATTGCAATATTGTTAAGTTTTGAAAAAGAATTTTAGTACATTCGAGTACCAAATTATGAAACCATCTCTAATGCCATTTTGTAAGTGAACTGGTTTTCTTAACGCGACCAAAAAATGTATCTGAGAGTTCTAGATATGGATTTAAAGTACAAAGTTATTTCTACATATCCATAATTTTCGAGATATCAGACTTTGAGATACTGAAATTAAGCTGCATTTCTTTTACTTATATGAAATATTGAGGTTGATTGTAACATATAACAAAATTATGCAAATAATATTTACAATCTTTGATATATAGATAATGATAAAAATAATAATTACCCATTTTTGCTCTCACTTTTTCTGGGACTGAAAAGGAAAAAAATGAATCAGTAAATAAAAGAGATTACGCATATTTAACCAAGCTGACGTCGTTATCCCTTATGTATTTAGAACTTTTTTCCGTACGTTTACTGTTGAACAGGCCATTGCATTAGAAAACAAATATTTTAAATTAATTTGAAAAAAAAGCTTGAACAATTACATATATTTCAAGAAGCGAAAGTCTATCAAATTTTACATATAATTTGTAACATGTACAATGACAGATGAAATAACGTAGAAAGATTTCGACTTGACGACTTAATTTAACTCAGTAGTAAGTTTTTATCGAAGTCAAATTAGCAAACAGACTTAACAACGAACAAAAACAAGATGCATTTGTGAAACACTTTGCACACGGTGGCAACAAATTTAGACCAAGCTATTTTTAGCATAATTAGGGAAATAATCATACCAAATATAAAATCTCCTATGGTTCAAAAGTTATGGCTAGGTTTCAAAAAGCTATTTTAGCATATACATGTATAGGTCACAGTCATGGTGAAAGGTCATTGAACTTCGTGTAATTTGAAAGAAATTAACTAGTGGGTAAACACACTAAATACGAAGTTTATATCTTTCATGTAGGGATGTGCGATTTTATCGGTATACCGGTATATCGCGATTTTTTGTTGCGTGATACGTATCGTGATACGGAGACCTAAATACCGGTCTTTAGGTACATAGTATAAAGTCCAGAAATTATTCATTTATTTGTTCAATCTATTAAATAACAATTACAGAAAGTATAAAAAATGTTGTAAAAAGTAAAAAGAACGGCATCTTACCGTCCAAACATAATTGTGTTTATATACATTACAATTTCAAGAAAGTTAAATTTTGTTTTTCTAGCATATTTTTTTAGAAAAATAATGATTTTTCATATAAAACCTTTGTAAAAACTGCTTTTAAAAATATCATGATATTATCGTGATATTGTGGGAAAAAATCGTGATATATCGCGATACAAAACTTTTGTTGATACCCATCCCTACTTTCATGGTTCAAAAGTTATGGCGGAGGTTAAGGTTGACAATAGACGGGCAAACAGACACACATGGAGGACAAAAATAATTTGCATCCCCAGTCTATCGATCCATGCGCTGATAAGAATAGTGTATCACTGCTGTACATTGAAACGTCACCGGTGTGGCTTTTAAAGTAAACAATTATTGTATGCAAGGACTTCTTCATTGACGGATTGCAAAGGTCTTTAATAGACTCAGCAACGTTTCATATGCTTCTGATATTTTCCATCACTGAACTGGATTTTGATCTAATTTACCCATGCGTATGGCAAAAGTATTGCTATATTTCAATTGATTTTTTCAAAATGAATAAGTTGCAATTGTCCAACTGTATACTTAGATAAACGTTCAAAAGAGGATCAACGTAACCTTATCCTCGGATCTGAGACCGAGACCAAAGGAAGGTTTATCACCAAGTGAACCGTTATTGGGTTGGATTTGTGCTTCTCAACTTTTTGGAGTGACAAGTAATACTTATATTAAAAGATATTTTTTTCCGACAAATTTCGCCGAATATTTATGTACAAATTTAGCCATTGGTTTGATTTCGAGAAAGTAAAGAAATAGTTTCAGCTTTTCTGGCCCAGTGGTTCTTGTGAAGATTTTTTATTATCGAACCCATCCTATTTTGTCTTTTCTTGATTATCTCCCCTTGTGAGGAGACTTGACCCTTTATTTTGACAATTTAAACTCTCCTTCACCTAAGGGTGCTTTGTACCAAGTTTGGTTAAAATTGGCCCGGTGTTCTTAAGAAGAAGTTGAATAAATGTGAAGTTTACAGACGGACAGCTAGACGGACGGACAAAATGTGATCAGAAAAGTTCTAATAGCCTGGTCATGTTAAGCAAAAAGAGTTGAAAGTTTGATATCTGCAATTAAATTACAGTCTTGATAAAATAACAAAATACTTACCACTATCTAATCTTTGTAAAATCTATAAATATAATAAAAAGCAGAATGTTAATTTTTGGTTACCTTTACTTCTAAAGTACAGTGTATGTTGATATTCCTTTACAAGATGTAGTCAATCTTTAAGCACGAATAAAGACAGCTTACGATAGCGTTATGAATGGATAAAATTCATCTCTAGTACCATATTAAGCCAATTTATATTGTATATAGCTTCTAGTTTGTATAGTCCCAAGAACGTCCCTTTTCGCAAGATATCTCAAAATATATAAATACCCTAGCTTTCAACCTCGGCCCTATAGGAATACTGCTTTTTTCCCCTAAACGTTTTGCATTTTTAAGAACCATCGAATCAAACATTGTATACACACGGCGGCTCATTTTGGATTATATTTATCAAAATGATCGCCACTTTGGAGGGGGGGGGGACAATTCCGTCCGTGAGGAAACGACTTCACATATGTTCAATAATGCTCTTTATCGCCTCGGGAAATAGTTTGCTGTCTTGATGTATGGACGACAAACTTGCTATTGTCCTCATAGCCAGTAAATAGGTGTATAATATTCATCGACGTTCAAAAAGCTATGATGTCCGAGATTTGCCAGATATATATTTACGTAAGAAATACCATTTTCAAAAAAAAAAAAAAAAAAAAAAAAAAAAAAAAAAAAAAAAAAAAAAAACCCAATAAATCTTTAAAAGGAATATATATCTCGCATATAGCAGAAATGACTTAACCACATGCCAAAAAAACTGGAATACCAATAATGTTTAAAACAATCGAGTCTACTCGCTTAGTTCCGCTTTTCTTATCAAAAAGTACATATCTAAATCATAATATAAACAGCTAATTAAGAAAAAGCATATAAAGATTTAATTACTGCTTTACTTTTGTCCTTAGCTTTCCATTTAAAGCCAACACCCTATAGTTTATTGTATAAGCTGTAAATCACGGTCAAATTCAGCATCGTATAAAAAAAATTCTTTTATGTAAACAAGTGACGTTCTTACATGCACAGGCCATATTATTGCCTGACTTTCGTACAAATTTTCCAAAATGTTGTAAAACAAAATATATATTTTTTTCGGTTTGTGTTCAGCGCAAGACACAAACAAATAAAATTGATTTAAACAGGGAGAAACTCTCTTTACGAAATACATGAAACAGACGGACAGAACTACTAGTATCACGTTCAATTCAGATTCATACTAAAAAATCAACTTGTATATTTTATGTACGCTACTTACTAGAAAAGTACTTAAATTGTCCAATGTTTCTATTTCCTCAAATCTTCTGGTGTAAAATAATTCTGAATTGGTTAATGTCCTTCCAGCTATAGCTAAAGTTGCAGCTTTCAGTTCCGTCCATTGTGCTTCAAAATCCTTTTCTTTCCAATCATCTCCAGAATGATACACCTTATTTCTAATTGCTTGAATTTCCTCTATGTATACTAGTTCATCGCACTTCTGTGGGTTTTTTCTTAGAATAATTTCGATTGTTTCAATATCAATATCAGAGGAATTAATTGGGTTCTTTACGGAATAGTTGCAAGGCACAGAAGCATCACAATCGAATAATGCGTCCCATTGATTTTGTGTAAGTCTTCGAGTCTTTGGACTGCCATGTAAAATTGTTCCACATTTGCATTTTTCTGTAGGTCTCCATGCTGACCACAAGTAGTGCTGGCTTGTTTGGATGAGATCTTCTACTGACACGTACCTTTGCTCCCTTGCAACTTTTTCTAGATACTCAAAGCGGAAAATTACACACTTTAAAAAAATGGTAACTAATAATGAAATATCAAGTTTCTCTAACTTCAGATCAGGATTGGGTCTGAATCCATGAATATCAGAGGCACATGTACTCCCTTTATACAGTAGATTCCATTGGTTGGGAAATAAAGATTTCTTTCCTCGAAGAGCGATCAGTCGGCCGCACTGACACGTTTGTGACGGATTTGGATGAAGTCGATATAAACTATGAAAAACATCCTCATCTTGAAGAAAGCTTTGAATATCACTGAAGTTCTTGTCTTTCAGGTGAAAAAACAACTTATCACGCAGTAATGAAGCACATGTTTCCAGGCCCATGCATAGTTTTTCTTTGTAGGATCTCCCCATTGTTTATAAGTCCCCTACCGGTGAAACCGGAGGGGACTACATGTGTTTTCTACATGGTATTCTGGAAATCTAAAATAAGTATGATTATGATATAATAAACAATATAGTACAGTCAAAAGTAAAAACAAATCACGCTTTGTATAACTAATACTTTATTATTTATTTGAAATCTTGTCAAGAAAATTTGTGATTGTGTATGACCTTTAAATTCTGGGTACATTCTGTGATTTATTATAATTTCACATTGTGTGCAATGAGTTAGCATAGACATCCTGTGAATTACTTGTATTGCTATTGAATTATATGGTGTGTCATATATATGTAATTTGCAAGTACAATGCTCAAACTTATACTTATACAAGTACGAGTATATTCGAAATGAATAATAGAAGTTCCTAATATAGCAATTTTGCAATTATGTGCTAGAACCTCGTTCATTTATTTTTATAAAATTTAATATTTTTTCAGATTATAATTTGAATTATCGCTGAAATCAGATTGGGAGCTTGAACGTTATCTATAATAATACTGTTAAAAATAGTTTGTTTTAAGATTTACAAAGAATTAAATAAATGTATTTTCACTATAAAATCTACCCCGCCCTAACACCAGAACCCCTGACCCTGGGGCCAAAAAATTCACAATTTTGGAAGAGACGTTCTTGCTCATCATAACTATATACTTAGTTAATTTGTTTAATACCCAGGAACAGAGAAGATTTTCAAAGAATTAATGCATTTTCACTATATAATAATTCAATTGAGTTCGTCCTAACACCAGAACCCCTGACTCTGGGGCCATAAAATTCACAATTTTGTAAGAGGAATTCTTCCTCATCATAACTAAATAGATAGTTTATCTGCTTACACTGTAATATACCCAGGAACAGGGTAGAAAATTTTCAAAGAATTAATGTATTTTCACTATATAATCATTCAACAGAGCCCTGGCTTAACACCAGAACACCCGACCCTGGGCCATAAAATTCGAAATTCCTCATCATAACTGTGTAGTTTTACTTAGTTAGTTTGTTTAATACCCAGGAACAGAGAAGGAGATTCTTAAAGAATGGGGTAAGAGAGAGCGAACATATATGGTATTATCCCGCTTCAGACAAATTTGTAGATAGCTGATTGGATAAAGGCTGATCACGTGACGCCCTGAAATTTTCCGTATTACGTCTCCGTTTCCGTATTACGTCTCCGTCGAGGCGTTATATGAAAATCGATTCCGTTTGAGGCGTTGTTATTGTAAATAAAAATGGCGGCTAAGAAACTGTAAAAACGTAAGTAGTTTAGTTAAATTTCTTGTTACCGAAACAATATTTTACGTTGATTGTTATTGGATTAAAACTTAATATTTTCATAAAACCGTATAAGTAGAAATTTTAGCGAGGATTTAATTTGGGCATTTTTAGCGAGGTTTCCGAGATCGTTAAAATTGAATATCGCTAAAAATTAATTCGCGTTTTATTAGTAAAGGCTTCTTTAGTGTGCATTTAAAAATCGCTAAAATAACATCTCGCTAAAAATAAATTACCAGTTTTTAGGGACAAATCGCTAAATTTGCGTCTCGCTAAAATTTCCACTTATACGGTATGCAAAAATATATTTTCTTTTTTTTTTTTATAAATTCGTAAGACAGTCAGTTAATAACCTAATACGGATTCATACAGGGTGTGAAATGCATGGAAATCCGTATTGGGACTCGGCTTCGCCTCGCCCAATACGGATTTCCATTTCACACCCTGTATGAATCCGTATTAGATCACTAACTGACTGTGTAACTAATAATGCAGACTCCGAGCCGTGGCTTGAGACGATCAGGTCCACGGAGAAAATATATTTAATATTAGCGCGGTTATAAACTCAGAGGGACCCAGGGTCCCAGTTGAGTGACGTTTTATCCCTCTGCAGGTTAAACCAGATGTCATAGGCATACATCAGGCTACGCAGGTGCGAAAATGCGCAAGAGTTTGCCCCTAGGACTACTTGCCCGAAAAATAATTCACCCTTTACGAATTAGAATATGAACGCCATTCATTTTCAAAACTCGCTCTTCTAATCTGCTTATAATCGTATTTATTTACGGCATTCATTGGAGCATCCGAATTTCTTTCTATACATATACTTTTAATAAATTAATATATAAACTAAATATTGATTCTGTGGCACATCATGCATTTTAAAAAGTAGGATGAACTTGCAGAATATATACTTGAACTAAAAAAAACTTCATTCAATATGAATAGTTCTGGATTTTAAAAGACATAGCAAGTATTCGCCCCGTCCGGCATTTGTTTTGTGCATCAAGGCGAGCAAATACAGCTTGATACCGGTCTGTAGCAACGGTTTTCCATGTGAAAAGGGGGGGGGGGGCTCCGAAAAAAAAAATCTGCGCACTACAAAGCTGGGCTACACGTGTACTGGTCATCAGATCAATTTTTCCAGTTATAACTTTCTTCCGTATAAAAGAACTGAGATGTCAAGTCACAGCCATTTTGGGCTACATGTATCGAAATAGCCGCTTATATTACAAAACAAGTTGCTGTCCTTTAAAAAAGGACTGCAATACGTGGACCATATGCATGTGTTTCTAACCGAAATTCCATAAAATAAATATACAATTGTACGTATCCCAATGTACTCAGATTTTTTGTCAGAGCCCCCCCCCCCCCATTAAAAAACCTTGCTACCTACCTCTATTAGACGGTAATTGGATGACTGAAATATCAAATTATTTTGCGAGCCTTGATTCACAAAATTAATGCCGGTGAAAACTTTTTATCTTTTAAAAGCTTTCACTAGTCGTTGAATGACGTTTTTCATTCAAGTTGTTAGTTACATGTATTGATATACTGCAAGTTATTCCTACTTTTTGAAATGCTTGTGCCATAAAACATGTCGAATCAATAAAAGTATACGTATAAGAAAAAAAATCGGATCTGCCCCTAAATATATAGATGCTATATGCGCGATTTGCCAATAAATGGCTTCGATTCTAATTCGAATAGGGCGAATTATTCTACGGGTAAGTTGCCTAAGGTGCGAACTCTCTAGCATATTCGCGCATGCGTAGCCTGTCGTTTGCACATGGCATCCTGTTTAGCCTCGCTTAATGTATTTACTGCGTGGACCGCAGGGTCTACGCAACTAAGGCCAATCCAAGATAAAATTCATCCATTTTGCTATGAAAGTACTATATGTATCAGTCAGAGTAGGCATGCATGCACATCATAATAGAAAAAGTGAACGAACCATGGATATTCACAAAATCTAGAAAGTTTCTTTAATAATTACAATTATAATTTTAATTATATTAAAATTAGCCCCCCCCCCTCCCCAACTACCCCCCCAAATAGGATTTTGGAGTTTGGGTAAGAACGTTTTTTTTTTTTTTGCTTGTCAGCTTCCTTAGGTATAAGTGAAAAAAAAAAAAGTTTTTTCTCCGACTGCCCCCTCCCCGGGCCCGGCCCACTTAAGTCTTTCAAAAACGATGCTACGTCACTGTAAATAGAACATCCGAAAATGTCAGCTCTATGAGCTGTATCATAATATTAGAACAGTTACATGTATATTTAGAATATGTAACAAAAACAAAACAAAAAATGATAGAAAATCTGTATCCATTGTTCCAATGATAGTTTTAACTGAAAAATGAATAGCAAAGAGGATTTCACACTGTCAGTTAACTTTCTAATCTTCATGTATACTAGTAATCAATTACAGCTGTTACGTAAACCTGTTTTGCTATGCCTTAAACAACACGATTTTTTAAACATTATTTTTTCTTTACTATATTTCTACTGTTTTCACTTTTAAAAACAAACAAACACACCCTCTCACGCACCCTCCCTTACCGTGTATATCCATCAACGTGTCCTGTTATCAATGCATACCTTTTAAATCTTTTGTTGTTGGTTACCTCGCTTAGCTTGCTCGATCATTTTAAATGAATGAAAGGTATGCACGGAATGAACTGGTCACTCTCTACCATCGGCTCTGAGAGATGAACGAACGACAACTCTGCAACGATGATTGGGCATTGGAGTGGGAAGCAAATTGAAAGGGGGGGGGGGCTAAGTGTTAGAAAAAAATTTTAAGACCTTAAAAAATACCTGACAAGAAAAAAAAATAGAATGGGGATGGGACTTGAAAATGCTATTTCTTCCTCCCCTCGGTTCCGACGCCGATGTTGAATATGCACCTCTTTATCAATCTCCAATGCAGAGTTGTCGTTCGTTCCTCTCATGAGCCGATGGTAGAGAGTGCCTCTTTATAATGATTTTCATACGAGCATAGGCGTCGGCATCGGGGGGGGGGGGGGGGGGGGGGGGCTAGAGGGGCTTAACCCCCCCCCCCCCCCACTTTTTTGCAAAGATAGACATTATATCTAAGGCGTTGAAAATTGGAATTTACTTTTTTTTGGTGGTTTAGCCCCCCCCCCCCAACTTTCAATTACCCCCCCTTTCAATTTGCTTCCGACGCCTATATGACGGGGGTTGTTCGGAAAGTTCGTTTTTAGGGTTGCAAAAATATCGATATTTCGATACGAGTATATATTGCAATACAATAGCAAATAATATCGTAATTTCGACACGTTTTTGGAATATCGATATACCGGCAAAATGGTTATAAACTAAGGAATTTCATCATTGATGTAACAAGAGGTCCATGGGCCTTATAGATCATCTGAGCATCATATATACAACAACTTTTCCAACAATTGAATTTGGTTCATGTTTTAAACCAGAGTCTATAACATTCACAATTTTGCACTATGCTCATCATAACTATACACTAAGTATGTCTAGTTTATCGATTGTGAAACTTATTATAATGATCGATTAACCCATTTTTGTGAATTTGGCGTGCCATATATATAAACTTATAAGGTATAAAATTATTCATTTGGGGGGGGGGGGGGGCATGTGAGACACTTCACATAAACAATTTGGTAGAAATAATATAACAATAATTTCATTTCAATTTTGTGTGCATTTAAAATTTTTTTTTTCTAAAATATCTTTATTTGTTTCAAACTTATCCAGAATCAAAAACTTCAAAAATAGACTCGTGCAGGCAGAAATTTAGTATAATTCACAAACAATAATTTTATAAAGTCTGTACATAGTCATATTCTCTATTATTTATCGGGGCAAAAACAAAAAAATATAGAGGTTTAGATTATAAAAACTAACATCGATTCGCATTCCCAATTGAGCACTGGGGTAGGAAAAAAAGCAAAAAATTAGTTAAGCATTGAGAAGCTTAATCCCGGCCTACCCTAAAAGATAGAGTAAGGGGGGTGAATCCACGCTAAGGATACAACATGTACTTACCTATTAATTTTTTATTTTCTGTGACTTTTTTCCTACAAGTTTAAACTTGTGACACCATCCTAACCCTGGGGGTCATGATTTGAACAAACTTTCCTACGGCTACACTATCTGAGCATGCTTCCATGTAAACATGACCAACTATATATGGATTTGCTGTTCTTGAAAGGAAGATATTCAAGGATTTTCCTTGTATATTCCCATGCTTTACTTTGATCGTCCATTGTGGCCTTACCTTACCCCCAGGGACCACGAATTGAACAAACGTAAAACGACTCCATCTGAGTATGCTTTCAATGCTTCCATGTAATTATGACTAATCTTACCTTTGCTGTTCTTGAGAATGTTTTTGAATATTTTTCCTACAATATACTAGAATGATAAGCTTTTAAAGTTCATTGTGGCTCCATGCACCCTACCCCCAGGGATTCCTGATTGAACAACCTTGAATCTACGTCACTTAAGGATTCTTTCACATAAATTTGACCAAAACATGGCTTTGTATTGTTGTTCTCGAGATTGTACCTATATACTGCGTATTTGACCGACTATCGTGGCCTTACTCAACCCCGGGGATCATGATTTGAATAAACTTGAATATACACTACCTGACAATGATTGATTCCACACGTTTCATCTTTCCTTGCCGCTATGTATTCCTATGTAGAACCTAGATGTCCATTTTTGGCTCAACCAGATTTTTCAATGATGCCATTAATTTTTTTGCGATTTTATAATTATCTCCTCATGGGGGAAGGCGTACGTGGCCGTTCATATATTGATTTGAATCCCCTATGCCTAATGATACTTTGTGCCCAGTTCGGTTGAAATTGGAAATTCTGGAGACGACATTGTGAAAGCTTTAAATACATGAATACCAGGTGACCTATTTCACAGCACATTTAGATGCTCACAATATTGAAAATCTCCTTTATGAAAAGATCAAACAATATCCCAGACAAAAACTAGAGGTACTGTGAGCGATGAGCTCACTAAATGATACACCCGCCTCCATATACAGTTATAATGTCAAAGTCCATGTTTTGCTGTGGCCGTGAAACCCAAAATATGTGTCGGATCAAAAAGTAAAATAAGAGGTGCACAATGGCAATATGTATTAAAGATTCTGTGAAAGTTTCATCAAATTTCATTCACTTAATCAGTGGTATGAGAGGAGTTGCAGATAAGAGATGGGTGCCCCAAATCGTAACAGACGGACAGCTAGACAGACGGACGGACGTACAGACGGACAGAATTAACGATTACTATATACCCTCCCACTTTTCAAGCGGGGGGTATAACTAAGTGCAAGACTTTTATAATCTACTAGGTACATACATGTAGGTCAATTTCTCTGTGCGAAAAGCTAACCAAACAGCTTTTAAATTTGTTTTTGTTTGTAACTTGTAACCATGCATCAATCATGTAAAGAAAACAAGAACACAGATCCCAGAAGTCTGTTTTTATTGATATAAATATTAACGTTTTCCTCCCACTCGTGGTTTTGTTGCGGCTCCGCCTTTCTGTGAGGGCTTCATCTTAGGCTGGGCAGTTCTTGATGCCTGGGCCTGAAACAAAGCAATGTTCATATGAAAATGCAATGCATCATTGTAAGTCTGCCTTGAATTTAAAAATAAATACGTAATAATGTTACATGTACCGATATTCACAAGCACAGCGACTTGAAAACAAATGCGCGAGTGCCTAATACAAATCAAATGTGTTTCTACAAGTGATCTACTACTGAAGATTTTTTAATAATGGTAACCAAATTAATTTCAACGTATCAAGTTGTCTCCCAATCTTTTAAGATATTAGATGTTAAATCCACTTGCAAACACGTTACGTCTGCATGTAGTATATGAGCTCAGCAACCTGGGTCTGCTGTTATAAAACATGCTCAAGTCTGAGAATGCTCTCAAGTCTGAGAATTTTCTCAAATCCAAATTTCTCAGACTCAGCGGCCATCGTATAAAGTTAAGAAAAATAAAATACCTTAAGGATTTCAATCCCTAATGGGACCAAATTCTGTACCCTTAAATGTCCGTCAAGTACACAATACTCGATATCATATTAAAGCATTTTATAGTGGAAAAAGGATTGCTCACGAGAAATTTTCAAAAAGTTCATTAATTAAGCAGTAGTTAATTAACAAAGATTGCATTGAAGCCTATTGGGAAAAGCGTTTTTGCAAAATAAAAATTCAAATAATTTGAATATCAATAAACCCTGTGGTGGAAAGATGCATTGAAATATTAAAATTAGAATGATAATTGAAAACAATTTTTTACCAGCAAAATTTTTTTAATTGATTTTTTTTTATTAATTAAAGAAAGGGAGATAACTCTTACCAAAATTCAAGGTCATGAATTAGGACACATCCCACTAAATATACTTATAGTGATAAATGGGAAGTATGTCTAAATAAACTGAATATTCAATGCCTACAAATATGTTATGTTTTCAATTTCATTGAATTTGTTCCTATTAGGGATTGAAGACCTTAATCTCTTTTATTCTCAGCCGAGTAATTCTCAAGAGTTGAGTTGAGAATTTTTTTTTTAGAATTCTCAAATTTTTATGACGGCGGACCCTGGATCATACAAGTGCCTAGACATTGTCAGGAATAAACCGACTTGAAACAGTTTCTGTCCTTCAGACCAAATATCAAATTTCCAATCCATGTCTCAATTTTAACATAATATCGATATTCTTTTCAAATCCTACTGCTGCGACGCCACAATGGTTATTGCACGAAAGCGAGGAGTGTATGTAACATTGATAGTTATAATAAAATACATAATATTAGCTGCAGATCTGTAGCGTTATGGTTTTATTTATTTGTCTTTGACCATAACACTACAGATCCCGTAATGCAAAAAAGGTGCAATTTACGGCGCAATATTTTTTTGCGCACTTTTGGGGAGAATTTCTCCACTTTCCAGCATCGGTTAATTAACTATCTTTCACTCCCTACTTCTAGACACATTATTTAAGTAATCTGTATATTTTATCCATCTCCCAACCCTAGTTTATAGTCATCTCTACAAGTGATAAACTCGCTTGATTAAAATTATTTGTTAGATTGCTGAAAATTCACTTCAAGCGAGTTTATTGCCTGTAGAGACAACAATAAATAGTTGGGAGGTGGATACAATATACAGTATTGGCTACAGAATAGGGGTGCAACGGTACGCCTACCCCACGATACGATACGTATCACGGTATTCAGTTCACGGTACGATACGTATCACGGTACATGACGTACTGGGTTAAAAAGTCAGACGTTTGTCATCATATACTTTAAACTCAAAATTTTTATCAAATGCTCATTACACTAACACTAGGAAAGTGATAACATCCTTCGACCTGTTAAATATGAAACTGGAAACAAGTTTATTTGCCGTTTCTGCAGTTTCATTGACCTCATGTTTCGTGCGGAAGCCATTTTGAAATTGTAAATGACGAACCAAAACAGACGGTTCGGATAATTACGGACCGATTGAACCAAACCATGATATCAGTTTCACGTATCGTGAACCGAACCGTGGAAAAATAAACCGATAAACGGTTTATCGTTGCACTCTTACTACAGAATGTGCCTAGAATTAGGGAGTGAAAGGTAATTGATTAACCAATGCTAGAAAGTGGAGAAATTCTCCACAAAAGTGCGCAAAAAATAATGCGCCGTAAATTGCACCTTTTTTGCATTACGGGATCTGTAGTGTTATGGTCAAAGACAAATAAATAAAACCATAACGCTACAGATCTGTATCTAGCATAATATATAATGATAAAAAAGTCTCCCATAATTGATGGCTAAATATGATTTTTATCCAAAAATCACATCCAACCACAAAACAAGAGGAACCTTTTATAATCATAAACTAGCCAGTGACAATTCATAAGATAAATATACCTTCTGTTGTTTCTTTTGGGCATCCTTTGCCTTTTGTTTTTCTTTAGCAGCTCTGTAATGAAGAAACATCATTTGTATAAATAGTTATTCACATTAAAAGCATTCATAAGGCTTGGTTCTTCTCCATTTATTTTTAGCCAAAAGTGTCATTAACACGACTCTTAACCGACTTACTTCATAATCCTAAATAATCATAATCCAAAATAAAACAAAATCAATTTGAACGCCTTTGCCCTGTGACTTTACCTGATGGAATGCTTTTATACACAAGACCTCTTTTCTGGTTACACACTGTCCTGTAATTACGCCAATGATAACCCAGTGACAAATTAAAAGTAATTTACAGTAATTTGAGAAAACTATTATTCAGAATAGAAGCATTCTTGTGTTTTTCTGTACAGCACTTTTTAGCTACAAGTTCCTCTTCATCATGTGTGAGGCCTCACATTTACTGTTGAGGAACTGGAAAACCTAAAAAATATTTCTGAATATGAATATAAATTCAGCAGGTTACAATGTATCTAAGTCGCCGAAAATCTCTCGTTTATCACTTGGTAGCTATGCTTGTGAAGATTTCATGTCAAATAAATGAGTTACGTAGAGCAAAGAAAACAGCCATATAATGTTTTATTTATTTTGTGATATGGAATAGTCAATACGTCAAACATTATAGACCCAATGCCCATGGATGCTGGTGTTATTTGGATAGCATCAATACACAATTCATTCCAGGCCAGTGATTGTTAGTGTATTTGTGTGCTGACATATAAATGTGCAAAGAAAATGGCCAGGATGCAGTTTTTGAAATAAGAGTGTGCCCCACTGCCCGAGACGCATAAATTTTTTCCATGGGTCACTCAGTAGATTTACACATGTGAGGATTTCATGTCTAATAAATTAGTGTTGTGACAGAGCAATATTTGAGCCATAAATTTGAAAAATCTTTTTATTTTATAGATACGAAATACATCAAAAAATGTAATAGGTGAAGGGTGTAAATTGGATAGCATTGATACACCATTCGTTTAAGTGATTGTTAGTGTATTTGTGTGCCGACATATAAATGTGCAAAGAAAATGGCTAGGATGACAATTATTTTCTCGAGCTAGAGAAATTTTGGTAGGGCTGTCAAATTTCACAGGCAGTCAGATTTACACATGTCGAGGCACAATTTTACAATGTGGAAACACTGCAGGATGTAACCTTATTCTAAAGCAATTTTATCACACTCGAGATATTTTGTACAAAAATCATTTCATTACAGATTTTATGAGTCCACTACGCAAAGATGGAACACAAGATATTTGCCGATGTGAACAATTCTACTTTTTGACATGGTTCTGTAACAGGAGAGGAGAAAATTGCAGTTGACCATACAAGGGTTCAAAATATCACTGGGATCACTATATCATTAGCAATCGAAACATGGCTAACCGCCACAGCTCCAATAACTTTCTTCACATCAGCATAAATGTTTGGTACTCTGAGCTATCTGGCCACCAGCAATCAAAACCCGGCTTGTATAATGTACTCAATAACTCTCTTCAAATATAGTCACAGTTCATATTCTTGTAAACTCAGACAGTGACTCTCTCTTTTGGAACATAAAGATAAGGGGTCCACTCGTAAATGGCTATATTTTTTAAGTGACTTCTGTAATGTACAGCTACAGACAGATCTATAGTATGTTCACATTAATCATAATATTAATCCCTGTTGAGATTCTGCTAGGCTAAATGCATCCCCCTTCACAACAAAGCCCAAGTGAATTAGCAAGAATTATTCGCCTACACACTGCCGTAATTAAGTCATTTAGTTGTTTTTTTGACTCTCTGATATTATTTCTACAGTATATTCACATTGTTTACCTCCTTGAATAAAATCACCCTATGTGATTCTGAACCAAGTATAATGTGACTATTGAACATAACATAGGGTAAAAACAGACTATAGGTAAACAATGTCCAAAGTGAATTTCACCTTTAATATTAAATGGCATAATTGAAGCGAGGCAGTGTGGTCATAATTTTTGCTATAGTGGAAAAGCACAACAAGTCATCAAATATCTAGCCTAGAAACGTTATGACCAACCGGCAACATGTCCAAAGTGAAACCTATATCGGCAAGGGGGGGGGGGTATTTCACTGGAAATTCCGAAAAGCACAACAAATCATCAGGAAACGTTTGGTCATCCACGAGAACGTTAGATGTACACGTTGTATTTTGACGTAGAGGAACAGGTTGTCTCTTTAGACTATGACTTACCCTTCCGTCAACTTTGACGATACGTTTTCCATGTCCAGGGTAGATTTTATACCCACTGTACGAGCAAAGTTCAATCCTGAAATCAGAAATATAGCATAAAAATTTACAATAACCATTTCTTTATTCAATACAACAAGCAAATTCTTGTGATGTTTCATCTTATGTTTAAAATCTAGTAGATAGTGTGTCTATGTGTATGATTTTCACTCACTTCATGATTGATACCGGAAGTTGAAAGACCGAAGGCTTTAGGAACGCAGTGAATTCTTTATTTACCCTTTCGTTTCGATTAATTTTCTTTTATATTGAATGATTGGGATATGAAGAATCACTATCAAAATGTATGTGACTTTATGTATCTATTTTTAGTCATTGAATATATTAATTAAAAAATAATATTTTGACCAATGATTAGCCGACGATCCAGAATAGCGGGAATCCAAAATGGAACTAGCGGGATTCCTGAGAACGAAGGTTGCCGACAAACAGCGTGTTTAATGGAAAAAATGGAAAGCAGTGAATATTAATTTAATGTGGCATGCTTTGGGAAGTTTTATAAATACAACAGGCGTTAGTTTTATAGTGTTTAAGAGAAATGGGTAAGTTTATGGACGTTGTGTTGCTAATGTAAACAAGTAGCAGGTGACTGGTGAGCTGCTGGTCTGTTTTATCAACACGAAGAGTGTAAAGGCTACAGGTTAGAGTTGTGCCTGGTAATTTGAGGTTTTCAAAATAATCAAACAACCATATTTACACGTTCTTGTGTTGCTTTTTAAGTGAAAAGATGTTGCAATTCGTGTAGGAAGTTAAAATCAACATGGTGTGTAAAATGGTAACGGGTTCGGCTATCTACCTGTTCGCAGGAGTTGTTCGCCAGAGTAATTTGCCCAATATCTTGTTCGCCCTATATGTGGTTCGCCCAATATATACATATATATACTTGTATATATATGAATTAAAAAGTAACATTCGAGTATATCATTTCTTTTGTATTTATTTCCCTTACAAACTTGGATTTTTTCCCTCAAATTCTGATACGAAGAGCAATGTTTATTTAGTCTAAATTAATTTTTGATTTAATGCAAATGATTTTTTGAATGTCTAAGTGTTTGAACCATAGTTAATTAGATGATTAATATCAATGTTAATTAAGGGGGATACATCCATGTTATTTTAACGAATTGCGCTATGTTTTGAAAACAATTAAAGGACAGGTGTGACCGCTGATACTAAAACGGGTGTGACCATATGCATAACGTCTGACGGATACAGTGACGGGCTGTTTTATTTTGAATGTACAAAAAATTAGGAAAGAAATTCATTAGATTTTATTCTTCATTAAATTACGGCGAACGGACTCTGTGCGAACAAGTTTTAGGGCGAGCGGACTCTGGGCGAACAAAAAATCAGGCGAACGGGGAATCGGGCGGACAATTTTTAGGGTGAACGAACATGGAACCGTGTAAAATTTAAAGCGAAGAACAGAGAAAGAGAAAATGACTTGGATTTTAATGTTTATACTATATGTAATATGTTTTACGGTGTGACCGTTGGGGAGAGCGCAGTTGTACCATCAAAAACACTTGAGAAATATTGAATAGCTACTTCAAACATCCTGCCGCACGAGACATCTCGACTAGCTGTGACATCACACGATGTCACGGAGATCTTCAGAGCTTATGGAGACATTTGAGCATCCAGTTGAAATTTTAGGTCTTTAGCGCACTTTTAGTCGAAAAACAATGCAGATTTTTTTATTGTTTCTTTGAAAGATTTCTACAAACTGAATTCCTTTTATGCTTTACCTTATTATTTATTTATTCGCGCAAAGGACATTGGGTAGTAAAGGAATTCTGGGAATGTTTCAAAACAAAATCTCCTTGATGTATTTAGAGATTTCATTCCGAATTTCCTCTGTTCTTACACGTTAGTCTATTGAGCTTTTACTTTCTCAGAAAGGTCTGTTATTTTCAGCACAACTGTTTTTTTTTTATTCTTCAAATTATTTCAGTGGCCCGCAGTGCGCGGCCGGTGGTCAGAGAATCTGCTTAAGAGTCGTGAAGTAAGGAATTGATCTTTACATCACAGGTTTGAATCCCACTGTGGGACGTGGAGACCGGTCATTGAGATGAGTATAAACCCAGGTCCCGCGTCGCGTAGGATCTCTCCCTGTTCAATGACCCTTAGTGTTGAGTATAGGACAAAATTTGCAGTTCTCCACCAGCAAGTGGTGTCGTCTTCATCTGAGTGAAAAATTTTCTAGAAGGACTTTAAACGAAATATATAATCAATCATTTCAGAGTGGATCCTCTTTGATGATCTCAGCAAGATGTTTTTGGGTTTAAAAATTTTGGTTTGGTGTCCCTACCGTATCTCGATCAGCCCATTGTCTTCCTGCCTCCAACTTATAGGGCTTGTTTCAATCAATACGGGCTGTTCAAAATGAATTAGCTACTCGCTTCAACTCTTTCCTTTGGATGTCCTTTGAAGTCTAAATCACTATTAAACTTTAATTTTCTTACATTAAAAGGTTTAAATCCAACGAAATAGTTGTTTATTTTTCATAGCTATTTTCTTTTCATTTGAATCTTAGACGCTAAAGAATTCCAGCAATAGTTTGCTTTGAATACCTTGTTCTAATAAAATTTCTATAGAAATGAACTGTAGTACAAAGTATTTGAAGCAGACTATTGCTGAACTCTTCAGCATTGGAGGTATAAATAAACTGAATGTTTCTATGAAAAATCAACAACTTTATATTTTATTGGATGTAAACATATCAAAGGGGGCCTTGTGTGCCAGCGGGCACGAAGAGGACATGTGAGGTGAGGTAAACCTATTAAAGGATGGAAACGAAAGTTTTATGGTGATAGAGACTTTAAAGGATGTCTCAAGGAGAAACACTTGAATGACCAGCATTCATTTCATTCTGCATTGATTAAAACAAGTGGTCAAAGTCGGGGCAGAAAAACCCGAGTCAGTTTATGTGACACAGGGCTGAGATATCAAGGGACACCAGACAAAATTTTTAGTCTCCAGCAATTTGGATTTCATTTTCAATTTCAAATTTACATTGTGAGTGTATTGGACTTATTCTAACTGTGGAGTCACCCACAGTGCTTTAGAGCCACAAACTAAAGAGTTGATCCTTATGTCAAAGCTTCAGATCCCACTGTGGGATGTAGAGACCGGTTGTTGGGATGAGACCATTTAAATAAAAGATCCCTCGTTACTCAATGGCTCAATATGATCTCCCTTAGTAACTAATTTAGTTGTTCTCATTTTTTGTCAAAATACAGAATAGTAGATAAATCAGTGTTTTACAGGCATGTCTACAATGTAAATCTATTTTAAATGTTTTATGAATTTTTGTTTGGTCTCTAAGAGTTGTCCCCCTTTTAACACACTTGCTGCCTACCTGGGTTTGAGAACAGTATAGCATTGTCAGGGACTGTGTATTGCTTTCAAACAAGTATACAATGGATATAATTTGATGTAACAATGAACTGCTTGTTTTTGTGAAAAAAGCAAGGTCACAGATAATTTTCCATTAAAAGTTACAGTGAATTTAATAACTTTAAAAGGGCCTATAGTACGTTGACTCCTCTAGGTTTAAAAAAGGTTCTTTTTAACCATGAAAGTGTCCTGTCAACAACAATGATAGTAAATTATCTGAGTTTTAAAATAAATTTTCTCATTATTGGTCATTAGAAAAATAATTGTAAGAACTTTGAAATTGCCTTTGCTCTAGAAGTCAATAGCAACAATTGCAATCATACTTGTACTTGTGATTATCTGAGGGAATTTGAAATGTCATTTCCAATCCATGCTGTGCATTAATTTTTTAACGTGTAATCAGGATGAAAAACAAGGGTATGTCAACTTATTTGCTTAATTAGTAGGATACAACATACCGTATAAGTAGAATTTTTAGCGAGGATTTAATTTTGGTATTATTAGAGTGGGTGCTGACATCACTAAAATTGAATATCGCTAAAAATTAATAGTGCATTATTTGTAACAGCTTCTTTAGTTAGCATTTTAAAATCGCTAAAATTACTTCTAGCTAAGAATAAAATACCAGTTTTTGGGTAAAAATCGCTAAATTTGCGTCTCGTTAAAATTTCCACTTGTACAGTACTTAATTTGAAGGATATATTCTTTCATATCTGGTATCTGATAAATTAATGATTATTTATTTCTGCATGCCAACTTGTTTAAAGTAGAGATTATTTTCTTGAATGTAATTAAGCTATTGCAGCTACATATCGGATATTCTAAATTTTAGATGGAGATGTAGTGAACTTGTCAGGGGCAGGGATCCATCAGATTTCACTTCCTCCTGGGGTGGATCCGACTACTGTTATTTTGGATAAGAATGACATCACAAAGATCGACAATTTAGAAAAATGTCAGCATCTGAAACAGGTATACATAAATCATGTAAATAAAGAGAACTCTGTAAATGTCACAGTTTTTAATTCAACATAATTCATTAGCAATTCATGGATATTTTGATGTATGAAAAGTATAGATTAATTTTTAAAACTAATCTTTTACAGTTTACAGATAACAAAGTTCAAATGTATTTTAAATAATCGTAATGCTAGTACAGTCAAATCTCATTTTCTACAACTCCATGGGACCAAAGTAAAAAAAATAAACTTTGAGATTTAAATGAGTATTTGAGATAAGGAGGGTAGAGTACTTAAGGAAGAAGTGGTTATGACTTCCACATCACTTGTACTTCGACATATTCGTGGTATTCAAGACGTCGGTATTCAGGATACCCAAGTTCAACTGTACTGTGTATTTATTGTACCCTTTCTTTGTAAGCTGTCCCTGGCTGGGAATCGATTAGTCAGGATGACCAGTGTGGCCAAGCTGAGGAACCTCACAGTACTGAACTTACCGGACAACAGTATAGTGGCCATAGAAGGTACAGTAAACAGCTGAACCTACCGGACAACAGTATAGTGGCCATAGAAGGTACAGTATACAGCTGAATCTACCGGACAATAGTATAGTGGCCATAGAAGGTACAGTATACAGCTGAACCTACCGGACAATAGTATAGTGGCCATAGAAGGTACAGTATACAGCTGAACCTACCGGACAACAGTATAGTGGCCATAGAAGGTACAGTATACAGCTGAACCTACCGGACAATAGTATAGTGGCCATAGAAGGTACAGTATACAGCTGAACCTACCGGACAACAGTATAGTGGCCATAGAAGGTACAGTATACAACTGAACTTACCAGACAACAGTATAGTGGCCATAGAAGGTACAGTATACAGCTGAACCTACCGGACAACAGTATAGTGGCCATAGAAGGTACAGTATACAGCTGAACCTACCGGACAATAGTATAGTGGCCATAGAAGGTACAGTATACAGCTGAACTTACCGGACAATAGTATAGTGGCCATAGAAGGTACAGTATACAGCTGAATCTACCGGACAACAGTATAATGGCCATAGAAGGTACAGTATACAGCTGAACCTACCGGACAACAGTATAATGGCCATAGAAGGTACAGTATACAGCTGAATCTACCGGACAATAGTATAGTGGCCATAGAAGGTACAGTATACAGCTGAACCTACCGGACAATAGTATAGTGGCCATAGAAGGTACAGTATACAGCTGAACCTACCGGACAATAGTATAGTGGCCATAGAAGGTACAGTATACAGCTGAATCTACCGGACAACAGTATAGTGGCCATAGTGGACAATAGTATAGTGGCCATAGAAGGTACAGTATACAGCTGAACCTACCGGACAACAGTATAGTGGCCATAGAAGGTACAGTATACAGCTGAATCTACCGGACAACAGTATAGTGGCCATAGAAGGTACAGTATACAGCTGAACCTACCGGACAACAGTATAGTGGCAACAGTATAGTGGCCATAGAAGGTACAGTATACAGCTGAACCTACCGGACAATAGTATAGTGGCCATAGAAGGTACAGTATACAGCTGAATCTACCGGACAACAGTATAGTGGCCATAGAAGGTACAGTATACAGCTGAACCTACCGGACAACAGTATAGTGGCCATAGAAGGTACAGTATACAACTAACTTACCAGACAACAGTATAGTGGCCATAGAAGGTACAGTATACAACTAAACTTACCAGGTAACAGTATAGTGGCCATAGAAGGTACAGTATACAACTAAACTTACCAGGTAACAGTATAGTGGCCATAGAAGGTACAGTTTACAACAAAATTTACCGGACAACAGTATAGTGGCCATAGAAGGAACATAGTTTTCTGCTTTCTTTGTACTGACTGTGTGTATGCAAGGTTGATCCAAAATAAGTATGAAAATGTAAGTGACTTTTAAAATGATTTTGTGGAATGCCAGTTCATGTCTTTGAAAAAGAGACTAGAAATTTCAATTTATATTTACTTAGAGACTCAGACAGGCTTTTATGTTTTAAAAAAGGGATTTTGTAGAATTAAACATGTATATATAATTTAGACAACTTTTTTAATTTTGTATTTTTACATTCATTGTAGGATTGAAGGAACTTACAGAATTGGAATGGTTGAATCTTTCAGCTAACAGCATAAAGGTAATTTCTTGGAATAGCAATTTCTATCATATTTTCTTTTCATGAAATTCTTGGCTTATCTATCATTTTTTTTTTAAAAGGCCTAATAAGAGGACCCCCCCCCCTTAAAATATGCTATTGATATTAAGATGCAGCTATAGTGTTCTGTAAAAGTGCAGTACACAGTAAAACTTGTTCAGTACGAACACGGATATTGAGAATTCACGGATATAGCAAAGTTATCTTGGATCCCCAGATATATAAATTTTAACAAATTCCTAATATGGATATAATGAATTAAGGATAAAGCGAAGTAATTTCAAAAGTCCCAGTGACTTAATTATGACAGAATTTTACTGTACACTTGGGGATGATATAGGCATGCATTTTTTACAAATTTTCTAAGATCGAATGTGTATTTCTTAAACATGCAAATAACCATTTTAGGGTATACCATACATTTTAACTTGAATGGGTAATATAATGTAAGTTTATTTTTTTTTAAATTTAAGGTGATCGAGGGATTGACTAATAACCACAAACTGCGACATCTGGACTTGTCTGACAACAGCATCTCTCAGATTGCTAATCTAGCCCATCTTGTGGGCTTAAGAGTAAGTCTTCAATAAGTAGAAAACACTTGAGTTTAAAATGATTTGGTTTAAAGAGATGGAATACTGTATGCAGGGAAATTTTGCCCTTGTGTTATTTTTAGCCTGACCATAGATTACGCAGATTTCAAAGAAAACCGTATAACTCCTTAGACATAGCAATGATTGGGCAAATTTAACGAGGCCCAATCTACTTGATCTGCGCATGTACATTTTAATGCAGCGTCGACTCAGGCACGTCACAGTACCCTTGGCAATCGTCACAATTGAATACAATTACGTCACAATTAAAATTTTCAAATTGCGCTAAAATGTTTCGCTATCTTGCATACCTGGTAGCTCTGTAACTGTGCATGTTAAAGCTGGCTATTCTGGCATTTTTATTATTTTAAGGCCAAAAAAAAATTAATTTCTTGGTTTTTTAATCTCTTCCAAGGGTGCCTCATTGACCCTTTTTAATTCTAAATCAATAAAATAAAAACAACAAATCACTTCACTCATCATTTTTTGAGGTTTTGTACAATGTAAAAGGCTGTCTCATCATGTTTTGGGGGCAATAAAAAGTAAAAAAAAATGCCTCCCTCCCTCATCATATTTCTTGAAAAAAGGCCTGAGAACCAAGGAATTGATTTTGCATGGTGTTACATGTTTTAATTTTTTTTCTATTAATAATCAACTGTAGAACATAATTTACTTTGAGATATCAATTTCTTGGTACAGATTTATTATTTTTATCTTGTTTATTTCAATTAATGAGCTAGAAAAGACAATCAAACACTGCAACCAAAAGGAAACAATTTTAGTCTTTCTCATGAACATGTTGAAGAGTTTATACACACCCTTGTTTACTGCGGACTTAAATATGCATGGATTAGCTTGAGTTTAAAAAAATAAGTCTCTGAATCATTCAAATGCAACCACCAAAATATTTTATTTTTCTTTATGATACATCATATTAGTAAAATTTGATATTTTGTCGCCTCCCCCTCCCTTTTTTTCCCCCATGTAAAACAACGTCTTGTGCTAACAAAAAAAATAAATCGTTGAGAGAAAATTATTTCATAATTTTTAGAAACTAATACAGTATAATAATCGTTTGTTGATGTTATGTAAACCCATTGCGACTTATAAAAATATCTAGGTTGATAAAATAAGTCCTATTTTTGTGTTTTGATATGCCCCCTTTTCACTGCAATGAAGGCTACCTCCAATTTTCGTTTCATTTTTAAAAAGAGAAATGAAAATTGCATGATATATGTGAATAACAAAGCATTTCATTTTATTTTTTTTTTTAATTTGTCAATTCCTTTGTTATTGGGGAGATTTAGTATGTAATTGTGTATAAAAACAATAAAAATGGTCCATATCTTGAAAGTGCCCTCATTTAACTACAGTAAGGGCAAGGTAACAAAAGTTCATTCTAATTTTTCTTAGCATAATACATACAAATCTACTTCCAAGAATTAAAAATTTTTATCATTCCATTTTCGTAATTTCCAACTAGATTGGGCCTCGTTAAAACGGGGCAAATCATTTGCGAGGCAATGTAAAAGGGTTAAAATAACATGGGGCAAAAATTGCCCTCTATAAAATGTATATAGTATGTCATCTTCTTTGATGTAGACCATATATTAAACTATATAATTTGATTAACCTCAAAGGATCAAATATTTCCATCATTCTGTAACATATAAGTTGATTTTGTTGCATTTGAAATGTTTCAGACCCTCTTGCTGCATGGGAACATCATTAAAACATTGGAGGGTGCTTCCCAGAACCTCCCAAAGTCTCTGGCCATCCTGTCTCTGGCTGAAAATGAAATAGCTGACCTAAATGAGGTATTTTTTCTCTTGCACATTTGTTATTTTCAAGTTAGCTGAAAATATATTGAAACATTTAAAAGTCGGAGACTAATTAATTTATTAATTGTGTGACAGTTTCAATCCAAATGCTAACCCCCCCCCCCCCCCCCCCCAAAAAAAAAAAAAATTACTTGATGATCTAGAAGGAAATAAAAATCATTAATTTCATGAAGAATTATCTCTCTAATCAGAGAGTTGATGAATTCTTATATTGCATTAATCTCCTGGAGTTATCTTCCATTGTTAATACCTGTTAGTATTGATTTATATTACGAGCAATATTTACCAAAGATATCCCAAGTCAACAACATTTATTAAAGCAATATGAGACAAAATGTTGGCCAGCAAACTACTTAGATGGTGAATGAACCTTTTATTGATGTTTTAATATGTATTGATATTGTCTTTGAGAATCTTTGTCTTTGAAATCCAGTATCAATTATTAAAGTCAGACAAAGACTATGCCTTTTTATGGCTCTTTTACATCTGAAGGCAAGGTGAACGCAACGAAGCTGCTAATGGAATTTGTCAGAAAGAAATTTAACCAAAAAAAAAAAAGAAATCCAAATGGTCGGACAAAGTCTGCTCACGGATAAACATGAATTTTGCATGTTTGTTAGGTACATTTGAATTCAATGTACTTTGGTGCATTCAAGAACAGGATGTTACAAAATCTGCATCTTTTGAATGTTTTTCTTCACTGAAAGGCTTGGTTATCTAAAAAATGGATTAAAAGATGCTTTTCTCATATGATTTGGATTGACAAGAATGGTTAGATGTTTTTTAAGGTGCATCTTTTTTGTCCACAATCGGTGACATGAAACTGATTGATAATTTATTTAATAAGAAGCTTCAATTTGTTGATGGTAATGGCCACCCTTTGCAGGCTTCCGGCACTAAGATGTCTTCCTGTTCAACTGGTGCCATGCAGCCATTATTCTCCACAGTTAATTACCCAATCAATGCATAATGGATCAGGAGCAATTAGTCTCTTGGTCTTTTTTTGGTCCTTGAATGACAGGATATTCCATGCATTGATAATTTGAGGTGCAATGCCATGTGATTATGTCCTAGGTATTGCAAACTGTTAAGGGAAAAAAATCCTGTTGGTAAAGGTACATTAAACAAAATTTAAGTCATATTTTGGGAATTATGAAAACTTCAATTTTTATAAATTTGCCAACTTTATTTTGTTTCAAGCTCACATGAGCTTTTCTGATCACCTGTTGTCTGTCTGGCCGTTCAAACGTTTATAAAGGTCATTTACAAATTATTCATTGCCAATTTATATGCTGTTTGAACCTCCAAATAGTTTTAAACTAGAAAACTAACTATCATGTGTATACACTGTACTTATTTATTTGATACTAATTAATTGTCTAAATAACAAGCACACTTGAGAGTTTTACAAGAGCTAGAAAAAGAAAATGTGTGCTTGCTGAAGATTGAGTGGAGAGAAATTAACAGACATTTCTTTTTACTTTAATTAAAAAAAAATAGAAGAATTTTATAACAAAAAAAAAATATCTTGATTCATTTTGTAATTCCTAGTTAATTTAGGCAGTATTACCTTAATTATAATATTTTGCCAATTAAATTATAAAGGAAATGTTTATATTCTTTTTCAGGTGAGATACTTGTCATGTTTCCAGTTGGAGCAGGTTTCTTTGATGAACAACCCCTGTGTGCTTGTGACTTCCTCTAATTCATATCCTTGATACTGCCTAACAACACACTGTTCTGTCTTTTGATTGGTCACAGTACCTCCAGAGTTTCTCTTTATGTTTCACTTTTTCAGCAGTCACAATATTGATAAATTTGTATGAGAATCTCACAGTTTGATTGGTCAACGTTATCTGCTAAATTGCATCATTTTAATTTTGCAATAAACAGAAGAGAAAGCAGAGAGGTGTCATAACCTCCATCAAAGGTCATCTGTTCAAGTTCAAGGTCATTGACAGAAAAATAAAGCACTGCTGTCCTTGCCCTATCTTGCAAAAGAGACCAAGGAAAAAAGAACAAAAAAAATGCCTCTTTCCTGAATGTGCATATGCTGAGACCTTGACTTAAGGTTATTTTTGTAACTTCAAGTTAACTAATAGAAAAAATTAAAAGAAAAATTCTTGTCCATAACTTCATTTAAGAGAAAAACTTTGGATGCTCATACATCTATGATTTTTGTGCTAATGAGTTGAGAATATGTCACAAACTTTACTAAAGGTCAGTAGGTGAATTCAAGGTCACTTGTAGAGAAGCTGTTGTACTCTTAAATATCAGCTTCAATAGCCTTGATACTGTACAGCTAAACCTTAAAAAGCAATTATACACATTTACTAAAGATTATCTTTAATCAGGGTGTGTCAGTAGTTTGTCTCTTGGTCATTTGGACAAGTTCAAGGTCACTGATTAATTAATATCCCATGTTCCTTTTAATGTTACTGCATTGCAATTTTTATCCTATTTTCTATGTAAATCACAATCTTTTTTTCTGCTATAAGGGGGGTGGAACCTTATGAGGTCCTTATAAATTTCTTGTGTTATTGCTGAGAAGTTTGTTAACTTGATTTCCTTAACAGAAGCACTGGTTTTGATGCACGTCCTTTCATTATTAACTGGATACAAACACTGTTGGTGCTGGATGGCTACATGGTCACTGAAAAAGAAAGGTATTCAGACACGCTTCTTCTTTTTACTACTGAAGAATTGTGGACATGGACACTTCACATACACTGCAGAGAAAATTATTTTTATAATTAGAGCAATCTAATTTAAATTAGATGTTAGATCTGCTCAAATACTTGCTTCACTAACATCTAACAACATCCCATAGAGGGTCACTTCAGAGTTCAAACTCTATCAACCAATCAAATTGTCGCCAGCAAAATCATCATATATTTTTGATGCGAATACGTATAGAACTGTTCCGAATTTGACCTCAAATGTGACCCTCTATGGGATGTTGTCAGATGTTAGTGTAGTGAGTATGCAAGTGGATCTAACATCTAATTTTAATTAGATTGTAATTAGAGTAGAATTGGTGAAAATTGTGAGAAAAAATTTTTAGACATGTCTTTTATTTTGGATGAACAATTTTGAATTATTATGTCTTGAACCTGACTTTATAAATATGCATTATTAAACCAGTTCTTTTTCAAAAGAGGGAAGGGGTATCTTCAAGTTTTAGTTTTAATTTTATTTAGAAAAATTTTGGACATATGCAATTTCTAACCTAGCAGTTTTTCATTTCTAGGTTAAAGGCCGAATGGTTGTACAGTCAGGGGAAGGGGCGACATTTTCGTACTGGGCAGCATTCAGACATTGTCGAATACCTGTCTGCGACCTGTCCCTTGACCACATCGGACCAAGTAAGTTTCCATGGAAGCAGTTGATTGTAATTTGTTGCTTGTTTAGAAATTATGCTGAAGAGTTTAATTTTTCTGGTTATAGCCAGTTTTGAAAGGTTTGACCTAGGGGGTAAATTTAACATACATTTGAAGGGGGGAATGGGGATACATATACTTAAATCTTTAAATACCCCCCCCCCCCCCCCCTTATGTATTTTGTTAAAAAATAATAATTGTTTAAAAAATTATTTTACTGTTGGTGAGATCATGGGATCATTTAAATGGGGGGGTCAGTGTTTGAGGATATACAGGCAAATTTTTGTGGGGTTGTTATTTTGTAAGTTACTCATATTTATAGAAGATTCAATAAATAAATTGCTGAAAAACTAATTGTTCAGGGGGTTGTAAATTCTTGGATAGATGAAAGTTCATGGATAAGGGTGACCAACAAAGTCCCCCCCCCCCCCCCCAAACATTGATGATTTCACAGTATTGAGTATATGAATTTTGAAATTTATAGACCCGGGCTGGACGAGTCAAAATGCTTGTTGCAAGGGTGAGACCTTTATATTACATGAATTGTTCTCTTTTTAATGTAGACATCTCATTAGTTAGTGGTTATTCTGGCAAATCGATCCTTTTCTAACATTCTTTAGCAACGTAGCACTTTAAAGTGAATTATGAAATATATAGCACTTGCCTTATGTATGTATAATTTTTTCAAAAGTTTTGTTACTTAATTATCTTTATTGAAAAATGCTCATTTTAGCAGAAGTTCATCAGCACATTTTAGAAGTTCTTTTGAAAAGAAGAATTTAAAATTTCAGTTCACTCATAATGCAAAAACAAATTTCACAGCTTGTTGAATTTCATTTGTTTTTGAAAATGATCACAGTAAATAATCATGGCATATTTCTTCTTTTTTAAAAAAAAACAGAGTGTGAATAGGTTAATGCAAAACTTGATTGATTTACTGTTCCAAACAAGTATGGTTTTATCTAATACACTGTAATTCATTGTAGGAATTTTTTTTACTATAAATAAATCTTAAAAAGAAAAAAAATAGGGTAATAGATCGACATTAATTAAATATGCATGTCAAAAACAATATGAAATTAACTCCCTCTTTGAGCAAAGTCATTTTTTATGGCATTATTATTTCCAATAATAACGACCCAACAACGTAGGGGGGCATCATATTAAACGATTGTTTTGAGATCTAATCTTTGCATAGCATGTCATAATTGTGGGGAAGTAATTTAGCGACATCACCTTGTGGATGCTGTTATTTTCGGCTTCCTTTTATTCCAGCCGTTAAAATAAGTACGATCGACAGACGACAAGGATATTTTTTTTCTTGTTATCAATTGTTTATGAACAGTGGGATGTGTTTTGCTTGTTTGTCGAAGAGATATCTGACATTATGTTTTTCAGCATTTGACCTTCTTTGTGTTTTTTGCCAGAGGGTGTCCAAAAAAATGCAAATAGATTTTTTAAAATATATTTTCAGATATGTTTGATGTGTGTAAAGTGTATGGATTGATTAACTGTTATTTAAATAAATCATCAATACTTAATTATGATTTATATCGGGGTTAGAATAAAGTTCCATTTTTATGTCTGCAAGTCATGCTGGTTTTCCAACAAAAAAAAAATGGAATTACAAACAAAACAGCTTCCTTTAAATATTTCATTTTTAACTAAAATTATTAATTAAGATAGAATTATTATGTAAATTAATTTTAAAAAATTCTTTTGAAAGAGAGGGAAAAAAGGGAAGCTTATTTCAGCAGAGACATTGATCTTGCTTTTTTTTTAGATATTAAAAGTTGAATACAATACACATTGCAGTGCTTTCTTTTGATTTAAAACTTAAAATTTCAATAAGATTCAGTAACTCTATTTGAATTGGTTTTTCTTTTTTTGGGGGGGGAGGGGGGTAAGAGAAGTTACTGATTGGGTTTATAGGATTTTGCTTAGTAATGACAGCTACCTGAGGTTGCATCAGCAATTCAAGTTATATTAAGATTACCTTTAAACAAAGATAGGATCTTTCAGTGCATGGTACAAATTAATTAAGCCAATCGCAGCTGTCTTTAATAAGTTATTCACAGTTTAAGACTTTACATTTAACCATGAATGCATATTGAAGTAAATACACAGGATTTTATTTTTCTTCCTTTTTTACATCGTGTAGATTTTGACTCATATTTGATGTATTGTGATAAAGTACTCAATTAAAAACTCAAAAGATGATTTCTATTGGTCAGGATTTTGGTATCCATGGTAATGGTGTATACTAGAAAATTCTTTAACATCCAGGGTATGATACTGACTGATTTTTAATGATTTTTTTTTTATTGAGGTAAATGGTAATTTTGTTTTTCGGTTGAGGAAATTGGTAAATTTCAAACTAAATGGTTTGTTGTTGAACTAATAATTGATTTAAAATATGACTTAAAATTTGCAACAAGTTTTATTAAAAGTGCATCAGCAATTTCTAATGTTATTCTATCATTCAAATGAAGGAAATTTATTTATTTATCATTTTGAAAGTGCATGTCAATTACTTTTATCTTAATATATTCTTATATATTGTGTAGAGAGTTTTTTTTTTCTTTCCTTTTGCTGCAGATCTTAAATTCTAATAACAGTTTTATTAGAAAAGAACAAATTCAATTGATAACAAAGAAAAAATTCTACAGTAAAACTATTTTATAACAATGTGACTGGGACCTTTGAAATAACTTTTCTATATCCATAATTCATTATATCTGTATAAGGAATTCATTAAACATAAAGTAATGGGGGATCCAAGATTACTTCGCTATATATCCGTGAATTTGCACTATCCGTGTTCGTACTAAACCAGTTTTACTGTATACACATTATTATTTCAGTGGTTGAAAATTTCTTTTATCAGTGTTTGATGTGAACTTAATGTCAATCTTCTTCAGTTGCTATTGCTGTGAAATTTGCTTGATCATTAAAATCCAAAAATTTTAATGAATCTGATAAATATACTGAAAATAAGGACAAGTCAATCGTGTAATTTTGTATTTGGTCAACAGAGAAATCTAGCTTATAATCTTGCACATACTTGCTGAATGCTTAAAGGTTTGGTCACTGAATGTGCATGTTTTGTCAAGAAAATACAAGAACCTTTTATCTTGACTGTATGTGTTGACTGAGATGTTAAATTTTTGTTGGTTGCACAGCAAGCATAATTTGTAGAAGAAAGATAGTATCTTGCCACCCTTCCCCCTTTTGATAAATACAAGTAGGTGACAGCACCCCATCTCTAGGTAAATATTAGTCTCTAATGTGTCATTCCTGCAGTCTTTAATTTGTCTCGAGTTGCCGTGTTGTGTTTATCTATGAGTGAAGTGTTTCTGCAGTGGCGTTTTCTTGATTTATGAGAAAAATGTAATACCCTGGTTTCCAGTTTACAGAAATATTATCTTAACCTTCAACACTGCATTAATTCAAAATATTGACAAATTACTGCAAAAACTGTGCAAGTCCCTGCATGCATTTTAGGTGGAAGCTGAATTCAGGTTCTGCTTTTAAGTTTAGCAATTTTTTTTATCTTGGTTGAAGTATCAGGTTCCAAGATACATTTTCCTGCAATTGTATTAAATAAAATGGCTGGGTATATCCTAATTACAGTAGAGTACTAATGATTAAGGGCTGATAATCATGATAGCATTTGAGAAGTAATATATCAAAAGCAGGAGCAAATGTCAGCTTGGGAGATTTAGAGAGGAAATACATTGGAATGAAGATCTAATCCTGAAACATAAGCAACCATTAAACCAGTCTGTAAAGAAATAAGGGTGATTACTTTTCGTACTTGTCAGTAATTTGTTTAGATTGGTGATTTGGTCCTGGTATCTATTGTTTTATTAATTAATGGATTCATAAATATGTTAATTTTATGATATATTAAGTTTATAGAAAGGAATCATCATGATCATAGTATTTTCCTTTAATTGTAGACTAGTGTGGATATATTAAGGCCTGGAAAGGGGGGGGGGTTAAATTCAAGCCCGATGTGCTCGGTGAAATTAATGGATTCATAAATATGTTAATTTTCTCAAAGTTTTAAGACTTTGGAATAATTTACCGGTATTTTTTTTAACCTTAATATCTGCTCCGAAGATTTTTAAATTTTTTTTATGTGACATAATTTATCATAATTGCTTGGAAACCAAAATTTAAATGTTTGCTCAATAGTTCTGAAAAATTTTCAATAAAGCAAAATTTTGAATGACTTTGTAATCCTTTTCGACTTTAATTCTCACTAGAAAAAGAACAATTATAACATTTTGGGTCATTTGATTTGCTTGACGTAAAAGGTACAGTAAAATCAGTAAGTGTTTGGAATTATCTTGGCAAACTTCCATGTAGAATCAGCTGATCTCTTAAAGGTATACATAGGACAAAGAGAAACCACTTGACAATGTTTGAAAATATACTACAATTAATACTTATAGTTTGCAATTTGTATTATTATTTAAAACATTTTTTCCTGTGGGAAAACTTTGTATTTTTGTTGTTGTTTTTTTTTCAAATTTTTTTTTATCTATATATAGTTTAATAGGTTAAAAGTCTAATAATAAAAAAAATATCAGAATGATGCAGAATAAATTTTATAAATACACAGTTTACAGTATTTCCGAGATGACCCTAAATGTGCAGCTTTAGGAGAAGTATTCTTCTTGGATGAAATTTTATAATCATAATGATTAAAGCTATTTAGATTTCAAAATAGCTTCAAATATTCCAAGAGATATTTAATCAAATCAATTTTATTGTGATCATAATCAATATTTTTCTTTTCGAATTCTCCTTCAATGTTATCCCTTATGAAAGTAGTAAACAACACCAATATCACACCATAGATACACAGCCTGTTGATCAGCTGATTCAGTGATTAAAAACAGCAACCTTATAATTTCAAAATCATCCTTAATGATTAATCATCCCATCTTAAGAAATTTCTAAAACATTCTAAATCT